AAATTCAGCGAAGTAGGATTCCTTATTTGTAAATCAAATATTTTCGTAGTTAGAGCATAGAGGACATGAAAAAACACCCTTTAGTCACCGTTACACTCTTATTACCCAATTTATTAAACGAAAAAGTGAAAAATACAGTAAAACATTTTGGACGTTACAATTATCATTTATTATATTATTTTATGGCATCAAGCGTGTACAGTATGAGCCAATCAGTGGCAGTAATGACAGCATGCGCTGTTACGCAAAAACCGCGATAGAGTGAAGCTGCGGAAGTGGAAGCGCGAAGTGGCGAGGGTTCACTTTATCTGTAAGCCCCCCCCCCCATCTCACTAGGTGTATAACTCCCACTGCACACACCTGCCGCACAAAGTACCTGGAAATGCCAAGAATGAGCCTGTGAGACTGGAGACTACACAGCTGCACCTCAACCCTACTGTTGGGTAGCCTTTTCCCAACAGGCACCACCTGTTGGATTCTGCTACTGGATTCTGCTTTAAATGACCTAAAACATACCTCCTCTTCTCCACTGCTTTCTTCTTCATCATCCGACATGTCCTCATCCTCACTGTCGTCTTCTACCTCCTTGGGAGGAGGTGCCATCTTCTTGGGATCGCCTTGATTTTTATGGGCCTAAAATAGAACCATGTATTAGCACATTACATTGTTACATTTCCACCGGCATTTCAATTTGTGGGGCTTGCTTCCCCAGAATCTAGTTTTCAGGCAATTAGTGAGTAAACTTACCCTGAAAGGCAGTTCGGGGGAGGATTCGACCCACCACCCAGTTTGAAAACATTGACACATCCTCCCGAGAATTTGCAAATGGTTTCTTGCACTCAGATGCAAATTCACAACCCTTCACCCAGCACGAGCTCCTCAAAAAAAAAATAACCTGATAAAATCCTAGCATCTTCTTCCACCAAACTGCTCTGAATGCAAATGAACGACTAGACTCCTCGTGGCCTTCGCATTCGGTGCTACTTTCTAACTCTCAGACCCGCGTGGGCCACGTGGGGCAGCCGGTGGGTCACCACGTGCGCGCAGAAAACACGAGGCGCCACCTCCTTCCGGGACGCACCACGTGCCTGCGGGCGGGGCGATCCAGAGACCGCCGGGCCTCCGGGCACCTCGGCGACCGCGGACGGAGCAGGTCCTCCCGGCCCAGAAGACACGCGGCGCGGCCCACGTGGCGAGCCGTGCGCCGGGGCACGTGCGCCGGGAGGCGGGGCCAGCCAGCGCCCACAGCGAGGTCCCACCTCGGCCTTCCGTCCCAGGGCCCCGCGCCCCCCCCCCCCCCCCCGCCCCCCGCTACCTCCCCGCCCCCCCCCCGCCCGGCCCCACGATCCCTCCCCGCCGCTTCCTCCGCCTCCCGCACCTGCCGGCGCTTTTCACTTCGCCATCATGCGACCAAAACGCGCGAGAAGCGCCGCTAGTCGCGCGAGATTTCCCCCAAGCCCGGGGAAGCTCGCACGCGCCCGGGCCGGCGCGCAGGCCAGGCCTTCCTCCTCGCGGCGCCGCGCGCGCGCGCTCCTCAGGAAGCAGGCCCCGATGCCCGTCCTTGCACGGACAAGGCAGCTTACCTTGGCGAGCTTCACCATGATGGCGGCTTGGGACGATGGCAACGCGAGTGGCGCAGATGAACTCAAGCGAC